GGAGGGGAGCGGGAGCAACGTTGCCTTTCGCCTCCACGGGGTGGGAGCCTGGAGAGGCTTTCTCACCGTCCCCTTCTCCCTCCCGCAGACAAAGCGACCAACCCTCTGAACAAGGACCTGGACTGGGATGGTATCAATGCTTTCTGTGAGCAGCTCAATAAGGAGCTAGAGGGGTAAGTGCTTCTTCCTCCCCCCAGGCTGCTCCAGGTCCTGGGCCTGGGTTACGATTGCCCACCCAGTAAGATCCGATGGGGTTGTCCTGAGACCTGAACAAGGATGAAACCCCTCAAAGTGGGAGTGACTGGTGGGTCCTGGTCCACTAACAGAAGGTTCCCATGCCGTTTTGGTGCCTTAAACTTACAATATGCTTTTCAACCCTGGATTCCCAGATAGAAACACAGGTACTTTTCATCAATAACCAGCTAGCCTTCTTTTTTTCTTTCCCTCGCTCCTTCCAGTCCTCCGCTTGCTACCCGACTTCTTGCCCACAAGATCCAGTCTCCGCAGGAATGGGAAGCTATCCAGGCCCTCACGGTAAAGGCATCTTGCAGGCTGGTAGAACTAGATGGAGGGCCAGGGTGTGGGGTTGCTCCAGTCTGACCGGAGGAGCATGGGAAGCTCTGAACTTCCTCTGAGAAAGCCCTGGAGCACCTGAGTCCTTGGGTGGGAGAGGGGCTGAAGGTGGTTCCACGGGAGAGAGGAGGGGTGACTGGTAGGAAAGGTCGCGTTCCTAGGAAGGATCGTAGCGTGTTGAAGTCGATAGGAAGTTCCCTTAATTTTGTGGATCCAGGCTGTGAACTCTCTAAGGCTAGCCCCTTACATGGCTGTTGTTGTTTCCTCCAAAGAGGAATATCTTATTGCTTCCCTTTGGGAGGGTGATTGGCCACCTGGGAGGGAAAAGTGGTGTCCCTCCGTGCTGCTGTGAGGATAGCTACAGTTTCCATGCTTGGTGAGGGGGCAGCAGGAGGGAGCTGGCTGTTGAACCTGCTGCTGATCCTGTGCCGGGGCTCACCCGGCCCCTCTCCCCAGGTGCTGGAGTCCTGCATGAAGAGCTGTGGCAAACGCTTCCACGATGAGGTGGGCAAGTTCCGCTTCCTCAACGAGCTCATCAAAGTGGTGTCACCCAAGGTGGGTCCCAGGGAAGGGCACCAGAGCCTGGTGGCAGGGGGGCTTTGGGAAGAAGTACTGGCTGAGCAGAAAGGTCAAACACCCACCAGGATGTGGGGGGAAACAGGACAGTGCTAGTAGGAGACTTAGTCCTCATTCCCTAGTGAGTATTCCAGTGGGAAGGTGAGCTTTCACCCCTCTGCTCCCAGCTGATTCTTGATGCAGGGAGCTGAGGGCCAGCTAGACATGATGCAGCCAGCACTTGTGAGACTACTGAGCTCATGTGCGTGCCTGGGGTCACCTTCCCTGCATCTCTGTTGGGCTCCCTCTGTACTGCTTGTCCTCAGGAACCTCTCCCAGCTTTGACATCGTGAGCATGTCTCTCTGGAGTGTCCCAACCTGGTTGAGACACTCAGAGGGCGAGCCCAGGCCTGGTCAGTGGTGTTCTGGCAAGTCCATCTGAAGTACCAAGTCATTACCTGCTCCTCTGCTGATGCTGCGGTTCCTGCAGCAGAACAAGCTCTGTGTGCTCTCCTGTTCAGTCGAGGCAATTAACACCAGCAAGCATGGAGTTAAGGGAACATGGAACACAGACTAAGTATGACTAAGGAAAATCTTTGTCTGCCAGTCACAGCTTATCATCTGTGATGATGAACAACTAGGGACAGTGACAGCAGCATCCTAAATTCCTCTTGCTAGGCACCCTAGAGAATGTCCTCTACCTCAAGGCACTGGCCTCTGGTGGCACATGCGCTGTTTCTACCACTGAGGTCCCCAGCAGACCCGTGAGAAAAGAGTGAAGGATGACTGTAGGGCAGGGGGAGAGCTGCAACATTTGGAGATCTCACCGCTGGGTGCTGGTCGTCTGGGGCTCACCTAGCTGTAAAGGGTGCCAGGCATGTTGGAGAGGGCTCAGCCCTGCCCCAGGGAGTGTTACCCACAGTCCTTCCCCTCCCAGCCTTGCTGTCCCCTTGTTCCTGAAGGACTGCCTTGCTGAGCAGCTTGTTAGCAGTACCCTTTCCTTCACGAGGTGACAGAGACCCTCCTGACCCTTCCCACCTGTCTCTGCATGCCATTGAGGGGCTGCTGGTGCAGCATTTCTCCCACTTCTTGTGTTTCCTATGGTGGAAACCAAGCGCAGCATAGGACATGTTGCAAGGGCCTCGTGAGCTTTCCTGCTTGCTTCCTCTTTCCTCCTCTTTGTGCCGTTGGGAACGGTCTCACTTCTCCTGGGGGGAGGGGAGGAGAGGAACAGGCCAGTCTTGCAACGGCTCAGATCAGCTTCAAGCCACCTCTTCTTTCTTCCTCCAGTATCTTGGCAGCAGGACACCAGAGAAAGTGAAGTCAAAGATCCTGGAGCTGATGTACAGCTGGACATTAGGGCTACCTCACGAGGTGAAGATCTCAGAAGCCTACCAGATGCTGAAGAAACAAGGTGAGAGGCAGTGCTCTGGAAGGGGAAGGTGGACGGACAGTTTGCCCTCCCTTCTTTTTTGTCTGGGCAGAATCCAAACCAGACTCTCCCTTTCCTGTGCCCAGACACAGCTGTTGGTCTGAGTTGTTTGATGGGTTGGAGGGGACCCCTGCCTCTTGTGCGCGAGATGGGGCACTGGAAGGGGCTGGGGCTGGAGGGTTGCAAGTGCTTTGGCAGTCAATGCTGGGTTTTTCTAAGATAGGTTTTCTATGGAGAGTGAGGGCAGTTCTTGTATGAAAACGCAGTCCAGGGTCATGGGTAGTGGGAGCAGACCTAAACCCCCTCAAGTCCCCGCTGGGTTTGGTAGCCCGTTAGGGGAGAAACGAGATGGGGCACTGGAAGGGGCTGGGGCTGGAGGGTTGCAAGTGCTTTGGCAGTCAATGCTGGGTTTTTCTAAGATAGGTTTTCTATGGAGAGTGAGGGCAGTTCTTGTATGAAAACGCAGTCCAGGGTCATGGGTAGTGGGAGCAGACCTAAACCCCCTCAAGTCCCCGCTGGGTTTGGTAGCCCGTTAGGGGAGAAATGACCTAGGTGGCAGTGCCATCCCCCAGTGGGTGAGTCCTCCTGACCTCTCCGTTGGTGTGTACTGCAGGGATTGTGAAATGTGACCCAAAACTGCCTGACGATGCTCCTTTTCCGCCTCCTCCCCCGCGGCCCAAGAACATCATCTTTGATGATGAAGAGAAATCTAAGGTAAGGGCTCTGTCCAAGGAGAGGGATGGGGGCAACATCTTCCCTGCTCTAGGATCTCCTGTCCTCCTGGGGTGGAGATCCAGAAAGAGTCAAGGCCCCTGCTCCATGTGCTGTGCTTCAGCAAATGGATCACAGGAATGCTGAGGACCTGCTCCAAAATCATGACAAAGGAAGCAGCCAGAGGTCGGGCATGGGGGTCTGTTTGACCTTTGGAGCGCTTAGCTGCAGAATGGTGCAAAGGGTAAAGCGCAGGTTCTGAGAGGTTCGCTGCTGTGCGGTCTCCAGCCTTCTGGGTTATCTGGCCATGAGGTTTAAATCCCAGCCCCAGATGCTGATGCTGCTGTTATCTTTTCCCCACCCCCAGCACTGAAGTCTGCTTATTGCCCAACTACTTGCACCTTCCTGGACCCATCCTATATTGCCTTTCCATCAGAATTGTGTCACCACTCAGGCAAACCTGTGCTTTACCAGTGCTGATACATTTAAGCGAATATTAGGCTTCTCTGGGTCTACTTCTGCAGGAGAAGCGTGATGACAGTTTGCTGCAGGGGATATATTTTGCCTCCATGGGTCACAGTGTGCAAATGAGGATTTGTAGGTGGCCAATGGGACTGTTCGCTGACTACAGAAGGGGAGAGAAAGTGCAAGCCCTCCCTCTTCACCAATTGCACCTGTGAAGAGGTACATGAAGAGGTCTGAGCAGGAGTCCATTGCAATCCTATGGCAATTGCTTTGTAAACCAGGCTTTCTCTCTTTCTCAGTACTAATGCTGCTGTGCTCCGGGGTCTCCACGGTGCATAACGGGCAGGCAAGAGCAGGTTGTGAATGCAGGGGATCTTCAGGGGAAGACCAATCTTACATAACCAGAACCACAATGGGAAAAGGAAGACTGCTTATGCTTCTCTCCCTGGTCTC